CTATTAGAGAGGTACTATATAGCAGCAACTTTGGACTAAACTAAGTGTATTTTAATTTTTGTTTGAACTATTAGATGGACAACCTAGTGAGCATATATCATGGAAGCACCGTGGAAAGATATCGCTATGGATATGTTGAGTTTGTTGAGATGCAAAGCGGGCCTATGCTATTCAATGAGAAGTCTTCATTTAGTGAGTCGGTTGAAAGGGCTCGGGAGGGGCTACATTACCATGGAGCTGATGATAGCATCACAGTTGAGGGTGTACTTCACCTAGGTTTCTCTCCCAACATCCTTAGGAAGATGATCCCAATTAGGTGTGCAGACCAGTGGGAGAACTATGTGAGATCGGCTATGAAGTGCCAGTTCTAAAGTTTGAATGTGGTTGTGCATCGGGTGTTAGTTGATCCCATCTCTTATGGGTTTTCCCACCAATGGGTCAGCAAGCACACTTTGACCCTTCCGTCCCAGAACCTGATATGGATGTGGAGGTTGCACCTACGGTTCTCGATGCTCAATTTGCCCCCAATGAGCTAGTTGAAGATGCTTGTCACTCATAATGTTGTGGCAGATCCTCCTCATAAGATCCCTTTGACACAATCATCCGAGTAAGTGTCTTATCCGTATGGTTATTGAGAGCTTACCCCCTTCCTTACATCCATTTTTTTTATTCTTTCCTCATTTTTCTACTTATGTTGTAGGAGACATTCTTGACAATGTGGATGTGCCCACTGTTGCTGCGTAAGTGCACTGTGGAGATGGATTTCGTGGCTCCAGTAGTGTGAATAATTCGGAGCCATATGAGATGGCAAGAGCTCTTGATTTTGATGATGATCTCCCTATTAGAGAGCTGACAGAGAGTGATGTTGAGATGCTGAGGCTTATCTTTCCCGGCCACCGTGATCCAAGAGTTCACGAGTTTAGCGATCTTGCTCATTCTAATCAGGAATATACGGAAGGACATGATGATGAGCTCCTAGAAGCTCCTGAGGCTGGCCCTAACATGGTAATTACGAAGGGTAGGGTATTCAAGGACCTCCCTGCATTGAAGAGGTGGTTGCAGGCGTTTACATTGATACGAAAGAGACCTTACAATGTCTTGTATTCATATGCGGAGCGCCATTACACAGTTGTGTGTGACAAGGAATGTTGCCCATGGAGGATTTGTGCAAGGAAGCAAAAGGTCACCGGAAAGTGAAAGATCACAAAAGTTGTCGGGCCACATAATTGTGCTGACCATGTGCTGACACTGAAGCATCACCAGTTAACATCTACCCTCATTGCCAAGCGGTTGATGGGAATATTGCAGGGAGAACCGAACATGAAGGTTAGGACAATTATCAGGACCGTTGAGGAGTTGTATGGAGGTTATGTGATAATTTATGATAAAGCTTGGAGGGCTAAGCAGCGAGCGTGGAAGATGATATATGGGGATTGGGAGGATGGGTATGAGCAGCTGCCAGTACTTTTTAATGCAATCAAAGCGGTGAATTCAGGCATGCATTATGAGTACATCCCAAAACCAAATGCATGGAAGGATGGGAGGCAGATATTCTTCCATGTTTTCTGGTGCTTTCCTCAGTGTGTCGAGGCCTTTAGGCACTATCGTCCCGTCTTCTCCATTGATGGTACGTTCTTGATTGGCAAATATCAGGGCACACTTCTTATAGCCATATCCTGTGACGCGAACAACAAGTTGGTTCCTTTGGCATTTACTTTGGTTGAGAAGGAGAACAATGACAGTTGGGGATGGTTCTTGAGGCTTAGTCCGGATACATATGGTTGGGCCTGGTAGGGAGGTTGGTGTCATATCTGATAGGCACTAGGGCATACTTAATGTTGTGTATAGATGGCCGGTGTCGTGCCTCACCGGGCCACCGGGCCGGCCGTGCCGTGCCTATGGCGTGCTCGTGCCTGGCCTCCGGCCCAAGGCACGGTCCGTGGGCCATTTGGCCATGCTGTGCCGCCCGTTGGGCACGGCCATTTTCACCGGGCCGTGCCGGCCCATAGCCCGACTGCAAAAATAACTAAGTCTTTAAGGACTTGATCATTTTCAACATGATTTTACCACCAGATTCACAACTCAGAGATTTAAAACCACCAAATTCACATCAGATTCAAAACTCATATTCTCAGAATTCTAAACCACAGGATTCACATTTCACAATCACAATTCAAACTCACAAGACACAAGTCTCAAACTCACAACTCAGAACACAAGGACAAGGGACAAAAGACAAGATTATATCATTATATGAATATGAGCTATTTTGTGCAATGCTGATCCTCCCCCTCGCGTTGCGAGGCCGAAACCGCAACCTCCCGCGGACGAGCCGGACAGCCGTCCACGACCTCGACCTCCAGCAGCTCCAGCACTGTCCCTCAACAGGCGCTTTAGCGGCCTGGCCATGTCTACTCCAGAGGAGGAAGACGCGGCGTCAGGCACCAACCTACACGCAAAGAAGAAGAAGAGTGAGAGATGACACTTGAGAGACAGAGATCAGAGAGAGACAGAGCAGAGAAGAGCAGATCTAGGGTTAGGGAAAGTGACGAACCTGCTTTCCCGGAGCCCGGTGCCAGAGATGAAGAAGCCAGCGAGCCAGCCAGAGGATGAGACAGACACCGATTAGAATCGACGGCGAGGTGGGGGAGGAGGGAGTGACATGAACACGAACTCACATGGTTCACCGATTCCGAGCGAGAGTGAGAGGAAACAGTAGAGGAAAAGGAGGGAGGAGACGGGGTTAGCGAACTCAGTGCGAGGTGGAGGAGCGCCGACGAGGTCACCAGTGCCAGAGAGGACGGACGATGATGGTCGATGGAGAGCGGCGGCGACGGCGGATCGCGAATGCGAGAGCGAGAGTGAGGCAGCGAGCGAGAGCAGACGGCGCAGCGGGGGAGGAATAGGGATTAGGGACTTAGGGTTAGGGATGGAGAGGGAGGCAGCGGGCAGCGGCTTATATATGCGGCGGGGTGGGCTGGCTTCGTGGGCTGCCTCCCTTGCTGGGCCAAATGAAGCCGTTGGGGCACCGGGCCGCCTCTTTGCACGAGGCCGTGCCCGTGCCGTGCCACGGGTCGGAGTGGCGTACCAGGCATGGCCTGGTGCCTCGGGCTGTGTCGGCCCGAGCCCGCTGGCCACCGGGCCGTGCCGTGCCCGTGCCGGGTCAAAACGCCGGGCCATGGGCTGGGCCGGCGGGCCGCGGGCTGCATGGCCAACTTTAATGCCGTGCGAGAACAGATAGAGGGGTATGCATCTTTGCACTATCGTTGGTGTACTCAGCACCTTGCCGAGAATCTACTCCAGAAGGATGGTGTGAAGGATAACTTTGATCTATTCCAGGAGGCTGCTCGATAGCTTAAGGACAAGTGCTTCCAAAAAAGTTGGAGCAGGTGAGAACCGCATCAAATGCAGAAGGTAGACAATGGCTCACAGGTTTGATGAGAGATTTGAAGAAATGGACAAGAGCTCACAACGTCGGTGGATGGAGGTACGAGTTTCAGTGCAGCAACATGGCAGAGTCATTCAATAAGTTGCTATTGGGAATACGTGGTATACCCGTGAATGCAATCGTTCAATTCACCTTCTACAAGCTTCTTTGAGGAACCAGTGTGTCAGTTCCCCTCCGAGAGCAAGAGTGATTTTCACTAAAGAGTGCCCTCTCAGAGGATACGATAACAGGAAGGAAGATTGGCTAAAATGCATGTATGGTAAGGACTGCTTAGTGCAGATGTTCACCGAGGGGATCGACGGAGGTCGTCGCTTCTTCAAATGCCTACGAGCATGGGTAATTGCTATTACATTTCGTTTGTCGAAGGAACTCTGTACCCTTGTTTGGTAAATGTTCTCACATGACATTTCTTGTGCTTGTTATTCGCTTCAATTACCTAAGGCATGTTAGGTTTAGTTCATGACCTCTGTACCCTAGTTCGGTACATGTTCTCACATGCCATTTCATGTGTTTTATGTGTTGAATTATATAATGCCCTACTTTTTAGGTTTTGTTTGTAGCACGTGATTACATTTCACTACATCCGCAATATTAAACTGAATATTATGAACACAAATAATGAAAACAACTACATAATGAAAAGTTCAATACTATGACACATTAAACAACACAATAATACAAGAAGTACGTGCCGATAAACTAAATAACACAGTACATGACCTAAGCATGCCCATACTTAAAGTGCATTACATGACAACACAATAAAAAGTCCAACGGTAGACAACATTGTTCATGAATAAACCATATAACTGGCAAGTAATAGAGACTACTGAGTGCAACGAGGCCACTTTCTCTTCCTCAGGGTATCGGGATTCTCCTCCATCGCTGCTTTCGCTCGACGTGCACGCTCAAGCTTTTTCTCCCTCTCCTCCTTATACGCAGCAACACGTCTCATTTCTTCCTCTTCCTTGTGCTCCTTTTTTGTAGCCTCCTCTCCGTGTTTCTTCTCCATCATCTCCTTATCCTCTGCCTTCCACCGCAACAGTTTTTGCATCCATTCTTTATCTTCAGGCTTGATCTCAGTGTCGATCCGCTGCTCAAAATCACAGAGCGGTGGAGGGGTCTGTAAAAAATACAATTGTTACAAAACAAAAAAATCATGTAAGATGTCATATGATACAAACAACAATTCATCACCATCTCTACTATAATGGATCAATCAAAATTATACTAGATCTCCCCAGAAAAATATTTCTCGCTAAGAGCCTCCAACCATTGTACACCCACAAAAATTTACAGAATAAATCATCTTCATTAAAATCGAGGGCTAAAAAAACACCCGCACCCAATCTAATGGCCGATGTTGGAAGTGTGATGCCAGACTTCTCACCCCGCGCGCCCTCCACCCACGCACGCGGCTTCAAACACTCCCCACGAACACACCGTCGCTCTGCAGAAAGAAAAAAAACAAGCGACTTCCACCGCCGCCTCTTGCTTCCAGTCGCGGCTAGGTTTCCCGGCCACCGCCGTGCCTGATCCGAACGCCGATGGCATGGGGCGGACGCGGCGCATGTCGCTTCATCTCCAACCTCCGAGCAAGTTACAGGCGCCGCCCAAGGACCCCGCGGTCCCCGTCATCGCCTCGCCCGCCAACGGCACAGCTCGGCGTGGCCACAACCGGCCATCCGCACTCCCCCCGTTTCCCTGGCGCTATGCGCGGGCACCGCCATCGGTGGTGGCGAACGCTCAGGCTCAGGAGGCCATGGGTCGTGGCAGCGGCGTGGGTTTCAATCCGGAGATGGTACCACAACCCTAACTGCCAAGATCGCCGTCGGCGCTGCTGCTATTGGTCGACAGTACAAGAGGCCAGGCGGCAACCCCGGTGTTCCGTCCCCTCAACTCGCAACGCTCCGCCAGACATGGCAACTGCATTGACGGCGACGTGGGTTGGGCCACGCTACGTCGGGCGTCTCCACCACCCAGATCTGCTCGTGCTCCAGCGGGCCGGCGCGAGGAGCACGACGCGTTCGCGGCGGCAGTGGCCACTAGGGACGAGGACGCGGGCCCCAGAGGACGGAGTTCGAGCATAGGGACGTGCTCCAGCGGAAGCGGCCACCGTACGGTGCCGAGATCGACGACTGGTCCTACTTCACCATGTTCGGCATCAGGGATGTCTCCGTGGGGTAAAAGCTCAGCCTTTTTATTTGTTCTGAATCCAGTAGACAACCTGATTCTTTGTTCTTCCATTGCAGTTGCTGCAAGACTACGATTGAGTCTAGAACCTAGAATTCAACTAGCGGTTCTTTTTCTCTGCACAGTATAAAGAGATGGGCTATGTACCTCGGGCTGAAAATGAGATTATTTGATGATACTGGGCTGGGTTGATGGTACTGCAAATGAGTTCTTCACTATTGATGATCTAGGTTTGTTCTCGATATTCTTTTTCCTGTCATTTTCACTGAAAATTTCTTTGTTTCTTGCTGAATTTTAAAACCCGCTATTCTCACTGGTGGTATTTCTAATTTACAGTCCAGAAATTCACAATAAATCGTGTCAATTAAATGGTTTTCTTTCTTTGTTTCATGTGAAGCCCTGAGCAAATAGTCTTGGTATATTCACTCAACCTTGGTTCACTGCTGGAACCTGGAACCTTCTTGTGCAACGATGATCATCAGGTAATGTAAACTGATGCTTGTATCTCTTGCTTTGGCAAGGAAAAACTCCCAAAAGATTGAACATATTTTGATCAAATAGATTATCATGTGCCTGTATTATAGAGGGGTAGAGATGGTCATGGACCGCACAACCTGCTCATGGACCGCAAGATAATGGCGTTCAAGAAAATTTTGGCGTGCTATAGAGGGGTACAGATTGGGTAAACAAAGATGACATGGATTACCTTTTCCGGGAAGGCGAGCAAGTGAATTGCGCTGTAAGTATGTTTAAGACTGCCCTTTGCATTGATTGATGTATACCAAATAAGACGTGAATCTTAATGAATTTGATTGTTCATTTTATTTTTTTATAAATTTTATCTTGTTTTGTAATCATCCAGATGATAGTGGGGTTCAGATGGGAGGTTCTTCGTGCTGGTACCTTCTAATCTTGTAGTAAAATGATATTATTTGTACTGTTCGTCAAGAAATGTATTTACAATTCAAGATGAACATGGAGGATTTGTGGTACATTGTATTTTCTCACTCAAGTGGTTGTGCTGGGAGAAGATTGCCGGTAACAAATGCAAATGCGTTGCTGTGGTGAAAGGCCTTTTTGCTGTGCAGTTCCTTGTACATACTTGCATTCAAGCAAGGGATTAGACAAAAAAAAATGTATATGCAGTTGTCACAACTTTAATAATTATCTAGCTGGTTCTTAACTAGGAACTTAGTGTTACATAGACCTAGAAACATGACATCAATTTGAGTCAAAAATATCTGCAGTAGTGGTTTTATGCCTTGTTAAATGATTATTAGTTATTGTGTGTACCATAAAAAAAGGGCAGACCCAGTGTCGGAGGCTCCTACAAGAGTGCGGTCTCACATGAGTGGAGTCCGGGGAAAGAAAAAACTGAGGCAAGCCTTCCCCTACAAAATCTACGGAGAGGCTACTTCGAATCCACGACTTGGTGACTCAGTGAGACAGCTCTCACCACTGCACCAAGCCTGCCCTTCTAAGTGATTGTGTTTACCATAACTGTATTAATTGTGACTGAAAATTCCTTCTTTTAATTGGCAAGGCCTTCTTTGACCCCAACTGTCCATGATTCAAGCGGTACTGTTGGTACTTTTGACACAGTTTATTATATTTCCAGGACTTCCTAGATATAAAACATTATTGAAAAGAACTTTATCGTTGTGCAAGCAAGACATGAGTTATGGGTTGTACTTGTACATGACAAACATCTTAGCTGTGTACATACTTAAGTGATCTAGCTTGGTTGTGAGTATTTTGTATAAAACATTGTACAAGTACAAATGTTGATCAGGTTGAGAGGAAATTGTGAGCATGGTTTAGTCAGTTTCAAATGAGCATTGACCCTGAGTGGTCGAGGTGGAACCGACTGCACGTTGTGGTTCGCCTCAGGACATGCAAAATGGAGGCTCGATGAGGTGACGACAGCTTATAGGGGTATATGGTGGTTGCCATTATTTTAATCTTTCAAGAAACTACATATCAACTTAGTCAAAAATAATTTTAGAGGTTAGTAATATATATTTTCAATTATATATGTGGTTGTGTGGTAATTAGTGGAGTTGCAATGTAATTATTTTTAAATGAAAACATTGGAATGTAACTAGAGAGTACCGGTTTGTGGTATCTTTTGGTGGTTTTGAATTGCACCCCGAATGTTGTTGTGGCGTTAGCACGGACACGCTACTAGTTTTGTTAATGCGATGCTGACGAAGTCTAGGCTCAAACGTAAAATTGGAACACATCAAATACCTCTGCCTATACGTGTTCTCGTCATCGGACTTACTGACCTTGCAAGGATCGCTGCAAAAGCACATGGGCACTAAAACACCACTAGGCAGAGGCAATGGGCCGAAGGCATTTCCGGTCATCCGACCATAACTACAATTTAGCCATTTTCGTTCTAAGAACCGAAAGCAATTAACATTAAACCCTACACCTAGGATTTTCCATTTGATCCACAACAATGAACCTATAACATAACAACGTGCGCTGAGGTTACTTTGGTGTGCTAGCTTTTTCACGCCTTGACATCCTACGGTTGTATAATATAAATATTAAAATTGCATGAAACCCTAAGTAATGATAATTCTTAAGTTAAAAAATCCGACTAATATATACCGAATCGATGTGAAAACAATTTAGAAGGGAGCGAAGATACCTTGCTCTCGAAGATCTATGGATCAAATCAAAGTTTTCAAAGTCCAATATGCCGATTCGTGAGGTAGGGCGAAGTGGGGAGAGAAAAAACCCGAGAGGGAGAAGAAAGAAGAGGAAAAAGGCTCGGGCAGGAAGGTTTGGCGCCAAGTTAAAATACCATCACAGCGCCATAGATCTTGACGTCGTTCTCAGCGCCAATAATCACGGCGCCATGCTTTGCGTCAATAACCACGGTGCCAAGCTCGGCGCCAAGATCTACGGCGTCAAGGTGCCTGCTAAGTCACCGTCACGTCTACGTCGAGTTCAAGACCTATGCGTCAAAAATCTATGGCACCGAGACGTGTAAGCTCGACGTCACCAACAATGACGCCGAGCTAAGGGTTTGGATTTTGAAATCATACCGGACATATTTATAATTTTTTTAAAAGGGCTAAAAAAAAAAAAAAATGGGAGGACATGTCCGCCGTGGCCCGTGGAAGTGGAGGGATCGAGCTCACAGCGCTCCACTGTACGTCTGTAGGAGTAATCTGCACGCTGCGATGAGGCCCGCTGCCCCCATTGGTTCGCCGGACGTTGCGGGTACGATTGCTGGGTCGCTGGGACCAGCCGAGCCAAAAGTCGGCACGATCTAGTACACGCTGCCAGCCAGCACGGTGGCGCTGCCTGCCGTCAGAGTCAAACATCCGCCGACTTTTGGAGTGACTCAGCCTCGGCTCGTGGACAGCGATGCGCCCTCCCTGAGTCCCTCCTGCTCCAGTTCATCAGCCTGTTCGGGAGGCCGTATCGTATCGTGGATTATTTACTGCTGGCTGGTTTGGTGTGAGAGAAAAACACTATTTCCGACTGAAAATTTACGATCGTTTACGAGCAAGCGAACAGGCTGATGGTCCTTCCCCTGCGTCGCCATGCCCATGTCCCGAGCACGACGGCTCCAATTCATGGCGAGCCACGCACAGGCACAGTTGCACGGATCGCGCCGGGTTCGCGAAAACGATGTGTCTGACGGGGTTGAGAGAGGAGCGTGAGCGGACAGGATCAGATCACAGACACGGAGCGTCCGGTGCCAGGGAAAAGTCGATTCGAGGGAATTACACCCGGACAACGACCGCGCTGCGGAGCCATCGGCCATCCGAGATGACGAATGATCTCCCTCTCCCTCCCTCCCTCCCTGTTCAACGGCAGTTGCTGCAGCAGCCAACAGGCCGGGATGGCAGGCGTGCTCTCGTGCGTTCCACGTGCCGAAAGCGACCTGATGGCTCCCTGCAGCCGCCCAGGCGCAACAGACCGTGTGTCTGTCTGGCTCATGGTGACTGTTCGCGGTCGTCGTATAAAGATGCATGAGAAGTTATGCTAAAAGTACTATTGATTAATTTGTTGTGGGAGAAAAATACTATTTGTTAGTTGAAAAAGTATGATTTGTAAGTCAATACAACAGGGCGTTAAATTTATTCATTCTCAGTCAGGTACGGTGTCTGTTTCGTGGTCGTCGAGTCGCTGACACTCGGACACGGATGACGGGATGAGAGTGAAAGCCACGCGCATGGTCCCTGGACGCACTGCTGCGAACAAAGGTTCTGTCTCAGGCCCTGTTTGTTCTAAAAAAAAAATCACTCTAAGGTGTCATATCGAATCTTACGGTATATGCATGGAGTACTAAATATAGACGAAAAAAAATTAATTACACAGTTGAATGAGAAATCGTGAGATAAAACATTCGAACCTAATTAGTTCATAATTAAACACTAATTACTAAATACAAACGAAAGTACTGCGCTAGCCAAACCCAACAATTTTCGCGAACTAAACGCGCCTTCAGTACACGCACTTGCGGCCGGCCCCGTGCCATGCGAATTCAATGCTCCAGAGGCTTTCGATCGGATGAGACTAATCCGTGCGTCTCATCATGGTTTAGACGACGCTAAACCGGTGCAGACGGGACGGGCGCGAGATTACTTGCACGCTAAACCTTGCTTGCGCGTAACGCTCGTGGCAGACTGTCAGACAGCGAGAAAAAGAAAGAAAGACAGAAACGGCTCAGGCAAGGCTGCGTCGACAGCGTGCACGCGCGCGCGTGCCGCCTCCCACAGCACAGCTCGAGCTCGTTTCGTTTGCTGAGGGGGCAAAAGGCACGGTCCAGGGTTTGCATGCCGTCCGGCCGCCCGGCAGGGTCGTCGCCAGGAGCACGCTGGGTGTGGCAGGCGTACATGGCCGTTGGCCGGGCAGGCAGCCATCAGTGTCGTCGCTGGTCTCTAGCTGCTTGCCTCAAGTGAAATGAAATCATCCACGGCGTCCCTACTCCCTGGACGAGTGAACTGCATGATGAGCCACCTTTTGCATGGCAATGGAATGGAATGGATTGTGGGCGAACACGGCGAGTGGAGGGTCTCATTTGGGCGTCCTCTGCCTGTTCCCTCCCCCGGCACGAATCATTTCCTTTTTCTTCTCTCTTCTTCCGTCCGGAGTCCCTTCCCCATCATTCCTCCCTCCCAGGTGGCCAGGTCCCCCAGCCCTAGCCTGCCGCGTCCTCCTCCAAGATAACAAAAACTAACGGCGCTCCTCCTCTTCATGTGCCCAAGCTGCATGCTTAGGCGCAGTTTGGGATGATTTTGGCTCCTCGTCAAAGGACCCATGCCCTGTTTGTTCTTTGTAGAGCTGAATCCGCTTTTGAAAATGTCTAGTAAAAACGGTTCCGGTGATAGTTTTATTATAATTTATGGTAAATCTATAAGGAAAAAAAAATGAACCATTTTTATTATTATAATTTATGTCAAATTTGTGAGAAATAGACGAGAGATCATATTTTCACGTCTCAGCTCGCCTAGTAAGAGAATGACTACGGGGATATTTGGTTGCCGACCAAACTTTGCCTCGCCACGCATGCGGTTGCCACAAGAGTTTGGCTGCTGTTGGGTTGAATACGTTAGTTGTGACAGCCACAGTTGTCTCAAGCTTATTTGCACCACACCTGTGGCGGCCATATTCTGCGCCACAACCCTCGGCGGCGCCAGGCTGGCGTGGGCGCTGAACCAAATAGCCTCTAGCAGCCTGTTCGCTTGTTGGTTTCAACCAGCCCAAACCAGCCAGCCAACAGTGTTTTTCTCTCACAAAAAACTAGCACCAGCCAGCCCAAACCAGCACCAGCACCAACCAGCGAACAGGCCCTACGTCTCCTCCTCCGAGCTTCTTCGCTGGAGTTTTTTTGTCCGATGATTGTTTGGTGGAATTTCAGTGGAGTTAGAGCCAGAACCGCTC